AATACTGCACTGTAGAATAAAATATTCAAATATGGTGTGAATGTTTAAGGCAGCTGATGGCCAAAATAGGCAAGTCAGAGAAGGCGGTCTGGGTTTGGAGTTGATTTTGCATCTAGAGGAATTCTCTTCGTGACCTCAATGACTGAGCGCTGGAGAGCAGGTCTTCCTCCTCAAGGCCAATGATACTTGAGGTACCAGATGGTTCCATTTTTCAACTGTGGCCCAAAGACAGGGTTGAGTTGGGCCAGAAATGCAATCAGCCAAAAGAGATAGCAGCAAACTGAACAGGTTACCAACATGGTGATGATAACTCCCCGGTTGGGACCCTTAGGGATAAACCAGGGCACGCAGAAGCCGACGAAGCCCCAGAACACGCTCATCATGATGAGAGGCACCGTGAGGCCGTTGCACGCCATGGCTGCAGCGGAGGCGCGAGCCCCTGCCCAGCTGCCTCGCTTCAGTCCCTATAATCTCTGTGTTTAAGCTAGAAAGTTCCCTCTGAGTACTGCTTTCACTGCATCCCATGAGTTTTAATATTTGTGTTTTTGTTCTCATTTCATCTCAAAGCATTTTCTAATTTCCCTTGTGATTTCTTCGATCCACTGGTTTACGACTTATTTCCATACATTCATAAATTCCTCAAATTTCCTTCTGTCATTGATTACTAACTAATGTCATTCCACTGTGGTCATAGAACATGCTTTGTATAATTTCAATCCTTCTAAATTTATTGAGACTTGCTTTATGGTCTAATACATGGTCTATCCTGGAGAACATTCCATAGGTGCTCAAGATGAATGTATATTCTGCTATTGGTGGTAGTGTTCTATAGATGTCTGTTAGGTTCCGTTGGTTTACAGTGTTGTTCAAGCCTTGTATTGCCTTGCTAATCTTCTGTTCATTATTGACAGTGGAACTGAAGTGTCCAACTATTATTTAGTTCTCCCTTCAATTTGACACTTAATACTTCATGCATCTTGAAACTGTTGTTGGATACATAAATCATGAATTTTTACATTTCTATTGCCTACTGTATATTTTTACTCAAATGTGACTAAGTTAACTGTTTGCTTCCAATTATACATATTCCAAAATTGGTAACAGTAACCTAGCACAGGGTCAGCAAAGTTTTTCTGTAAAGGGCCTAATAGTAAATATTTTAGGCTTTGAGAGCTACATGGTCTCTGCTGCAAAAATTCAACTCTTCTGTTGTAGCAGAAAAGCAGTCAGTCATAGACAACATATAGCTTTGTTCAATCAGTCTCTCTCCTTCCTTCCTTGTGGGACAACAGAGATGCAATAAATTATTTTCTTTATAAACTGTAACCACTATCACAGAAATGATAAAAGTATTTAAAATTTTTTATAGGTAATTATTGTAAACAAATCAATAAAAGCACTTAACAGCCAGGATATAGAAATAGTTGAGTTCAATAGGGTATTTATTAAATCGGGGCTTCTTGAGTAATTGTGTGAGCAATGGAAGTATTAATTTACTTAACTGCCTAGACTTTTGTTCCACTGAGAGCATTTGACACATCTTGCTTTTCCAAATAAAATGAGCATTATTTATACGTTCATGAGCTCTTTCCTTATTTGTCTGTCTCACCCCTAACACCCAACACAGGGTCATGCATAGAGAAGAAGTTGCAAATTATATTTTCAATCAGGGCTCACAATCAAGTAGCTTGTGAGCCAGACGTGTTTTGTTTGGCCATTATCTTGTTTTTAAAACTGAAATGCATGTCTTTTGGCAGGACGCTCATTCTGCAGTTTACCACAGATCCTACTGTCTATTGAATACTACTTCACTGCTGTTCTCTCTTCCTGGACAGTGAGAGCATTTTAATTTGTGCCCCATTTGTTCAATAAAAGGAAAACTTATTTCAAATTACTCTTATCTATAGGCTATGATTTGCTCATCTATAGTACTGAAGCCTCTTTTACTTGTCTATAATGTTTCAGTGAGTACTTTAATAAAATTGCCCTTTCTTACAAATGTTCAATTCCCTGGGAACTTTCTCACAAACCAATACAGAACAATATGTGAAAGATTACAGAGAGCATATAAAATGGATGTATGTATAGGAAAAGAATATAAGGAAATTGATCAAAATGTCAGGTTATTAATTTCTGGGCTGTGAGATTATGGATTATTTCTCTTTATTTTTTATATTTTCAAGTTTTCTACAGTGAGCACGACTTACATTTACAATCGGGGAAAAACTCTTTGGCAAAAAAAGAAAAAAACACTTTCACAAATTCAAGTTGACTCTCCTTCCTGCTCCTTAAGTTGGAGAAGGAAAGAGAAGGAAAGGAATATTGAGTGCCAACTTAGTCTGAGGCATGACACTAAAACACAAAAACCCTCTGAGGAAGGAGTATTAAAGTACCCATTTCTGACATATAGAACAATTACCTCAGTTTTATTTTATGGAAAAATCTTGACATCTCCAGGATACAAGGATATAGAAATCTGGAGGAAAAAAAAAAGGCTGAGTGAGGTGGGGGGGGGGGTGGGGCAAAGAGAAGATCTTAAAGAGAATGAAAGGCAGTGAAGAGGAGAAGGCAAATAATGCTGGATAAGGGCATAGGAAATAATGATTTATTCACGCATTCATCAAATATTTAGTTTCAACTATTTCAAGACACTTTGCAGGAGACTGTAGGGAATACACAGATGGGTCTGACACAGATCAAAAGATAGCATATGTATCACAGTCCTTCTATACATATTCAACATAATATCCTGCATTAATGAAACATGAGAAAATTGACATAACACACTTGCCAACAACTCAAATGAAGAAGGGAAATAAGAGTCAACTGAGAGTAGAGTGACTACAAAGTGAGTTGAGAGGAAGCAGGAATTGCTTCTGGTGCAGGGATGATGGCGAGAGGGAAAGAGATACATGCTCGTATCAGCCATAGGACTCTAATCTCTCTCCTGAGTGCCCCAGGCCTGTACTTGAAGTTGTTCATTAGCCATATTTCCCAAGTGACCTGAAGGCCCTCAAACTCTGTGTCCCCATCCCCATCTCACCACCACCTCCCTATCCACTTAGAAGTCTGCTTACTCAACGAATGATCAGAGTGTCTGGTATGTACCACCAGTAGGCTTAGTAAAAGACAGAGATATTAAACAAGGAAATATAAAATACAGCCGTACAGGAAAAAAGAAGAGGTGAGACAGAAAAATAAGAAAGGAGCATTTTCAGAAAGACCGCTCTAAAGACGTAACATTTTTGAGAACTGAAGGATGAGAAGGCCCTAGGAAGATCTGTGATTGAAGTGGAGGTTCCCAGCAGTGGAGGGAACAGCTTAGGCAAAGACACTGAGGGAGGAAAGGACTTAGCAAGTCAGAACTGAAAGAAAACCTCTGTAATTACATCAAGATTAGAGGGTGGGGAGTATGGTGGGAAATGAAGGTAGAGAGCTCACCGGGGCTTTGCAGTTTAGTTTCTGCTACAAATTCTGAATTGTATTCTAAATGCAACGAAAGACACAGCAATGAAAACACAGATGCCATCCCTCCCTTCATGGTATATATAGATCTAGTGAAGAATACAGATTATTAAACAACTGATTTCAATCTGTGTCATAAGTTTTAAGATAGGGAATATACAGAGTGCTGTAAGAGAGCACGGAGGAGGGGACACCTAATTCAGTCTGAGCAGGTATATTCACTCTCCACAGGGACCATTGCAACAACTTCTCAATCAGTTATGCAGCCTCCAGAGTCACCTTCCAACTTATCTTCCACACTGCTACCTATCATCTTTCCTTGACACAAATGAGAGCCGGTCAAAACCATCCATGACCTCCCAGAGGGTAAATTCCAAAACTTCTTGATCTCCTGTCACCATTTGGCCCTAACCTCTATCTTCTCGGTTTAAGCTCCTACCACTACCTATCACAATGGTTTTTAAACTTTCTTTTTAGTAGGAAACACATTTTATCATTACAAACACACATTATCCACATCAAACGCCAGAAAGTTTCAAGAAACAATTCAAGTAGGATTGCTCTGATACTTTCTGACTTCTTTCCTTAAAATGCTGGTTGATTTATTCATGACTTGCTAATGGGTCTATTCTGCAGTTTGAAATCAGTGACTGCTTCCTCCACTACGAATTTCTCCACTCGGCTTTGAACAAGCTCTGTGCTTGGATGCCTGGATCCAAAGAGTAGCCTGGATGCCAGGAGAACCCTGCCCTTCTGTCTTCATTGTTTATTCACCTAGCAATTTCCTACTGACCTCCCAAGAGTCATCCCAAACATTATTTATTCAGAGAAACCTTTCCAGATATTGCCCCAGTCACCGTACTTCCATCCTTGGAGGTCCCAGGAAATAACACACCCTGAACGACAGTACGTGCCATGCAGGGTCTATTACAATGACTTTTCAGAAACAGGTCAGTCTGCTCTGGACGAGGTTTCTGGACATCAGCAACCTGGCTGTTTTATCTCCGGTCCAAAATAGGGCCTAATCGGTCGGAAGCAAAGGTCAGGGGATGTCACCCTGAATAGATGAAAACTCACCTCATTTTCTACTACCCTCCCCCACACTCTCACCATCTTGGCTGTGCACCAGACAAACTGGCCTTCTTTCTAGTCCTCAAGCACACAAGGTCTTTCCTCCCTCAGAGCCTTACTCTTCCCCCAGCATTTCCCCGGCAGCCTGCTTGCTGCTACTTTACCGTCAAATCAATATCTACCCTTAGAGAGGCCATCTGCCCAACCTCTCAGCACATTTCTTTTTTTAAAGATTTTACTTATTTATCCATGACAGACACAGAGATGCAGAGAGAGAGAGAGGAGCAGAGACACCGGCAGAGGGAGAAGCAGGCTCCATGCAGGGAGCCCGAGGCGGGACTCTATCTCGGGTCTGCAGGGTCACACCCTGGGCTGCAGGCGGCGCTAAACCGCTGGGCCACCAGGGCTGTCCTCTCAGCACATTTCCTTTGTTTTTATGGCATTCAAGGCTCTCTGGAAATTACCTTATTTTCTTTGTTTACTCGTCTACCTGTCCCACATTAGTAAGTGAGGGGCACAGTCCGCCAAGTATCCCCCAGGAACTTCGGCGGCCAGGACGATGCACCGCGTGCAGGAGGCGGTCAACAAAACCTCAGGTGACGAATGAGGGAGCGGGAGCCGGGGGTGCGGACGCAGAAGTCCCGGGGAGCTGTCCGGGAGCCGCCGGGAGTGTTCCCGGGCAGGGCCGCCGCTACGCCCTGCGCAAGGCACCCAGGTGCCGCATTTCAAGGGCCTACCAGTAATAAGTGACCGTGCAGGCCGTGCACACCCGCTCGGCCGGGGCTTCGCACACCTCGCAGCACAGCCGCCGCCCCTTGGGCACCGCCAGCGGGTAGATGCGGTCCATGCTGCAGCCCGCAGCGTCGGCCTCCAGGACGGTTGCCTGGCAACGACGCGCCGCGCGCCGGCATCACGTGCCCGCCGTCGGGCGCACAGGGAGGTGGGGGAGGGGGCGTGGCTGCGCTGACATCTAAGAGTGTATTCGTGCAATTAAAAAAAGAAACCAAAAAAAAAAAAAAAATCAAACGCAAGAGACACAACTCCTCCCCGTACGTCCCGAGGGTTAAAAGGTTGGGGCGGTGTGACTTCGGTGGAATCGAAGCGCAGGGAGGCGCGTACGGTGGCCGGCGAGCGGCAAAAACAGCCGGAGGAGGACGCGAAGGGGCGGCGGCTCCCGGGGCCCTTGCAGCCCTGCCCAGCCGCCAGCCGCCAGCCGCCAGCCGCCAGCCGCCAGCCGCCAGCCCAGGGTCACGTCTGCGGCGCTCCGGCTGCAGACAGCGCGGGCAGCCGCGCAGGACGAGAGGCGCGGCGCCGCGGCAGGGGGAGGCCCGCCCCTCGCGACTGCGGCTGCGCGGGGCCGGGCGGGCGGAGCGCGCGCGAGTGCGGAGCGCGCCGGGGGCTCATGGCGGAAGTGGACCTGGTCGCCGAGTTCCCCAAGCCGGCGGACGCGGCGCGCCGCGGCGAGGTTATGGCTCGCTTCGCCGCCAGGCTGGGCGCGCAGGGCCGGCGGGTGGTGCTGATCACGTCCGGCGGCACCAAGGTCCCGCTGGAAGCCCGGCCAGTGCGCTTCCTGGACAACTTCAGCAGCGGGCGGCGCGGGGCCTCCTCGGCCGAGGCCTTCCTGGCTGCGGGCTACGGGGTCCTGTTCCTGTACCGCGCTCGCTCCGCCTTCCCCTTTGCCCACCGCTTCCCGCCCCAGACCTGGCTGTCGGCGCTGCGGCCCTGCGGCGCGGCCCCTCCGGGCTTGCTGAGCCTGCAGGCCGAGGAGGATGCTCTTCCGGGCTTCGCGGCGGCTCTGCGCAGCTACCAGGAGGCTGCGGCTGCCGGCACCTTCCTGGCCGTGGAGTTCACCACCTTGGCGGACTACTTGCACCTGCTGCAGGCTGCGGCCCAGGCGCTCAATCCGCTGGGTGCGTGCCCTAGGAGTTCAGGGTTGCCTGCAGGCGGACCGGCCTCCCCGGGCACTGCCCCCCTCACCTTCCCGTTGTCCGCAGTCTGACCGCCGGGGAGCCTCAGCTGAGAAGGAGCCGCTCCCATACCCCACGCCGATTGATTACACCCTGTGCTTCTCTCCGCAGGCTCTTCTGCGATGATTTACCTGGCTGCGGCCGTGTCAGATTTCTATGTTCCTGTCTCAGAAATGCCTGAACACAAGATCCAGTCATCTAGGGGCCCACTGCAGGTGATGGGCGCTTCTCTTCCAGAGATCTGATCCCCCATAATCAATCTTGGGTTAATTCCCTCTTGATCTGGAGATGGCCTTTCTGCATTCCGTATGTGCTAGGCGCTAGGGATACAGAGATGACTAAGACACCGCCCTCCCTCAAGAACCTCACAATCTAGTGAGGGAGCTGGACACAGACATAATTACAGTACAGAGGGATAAATGCTCTAGTAGAGGTACGTACAAAGTGAAGCCAGAGCATGGGGTGAGTGCATTCTCGGGGAAGTCAAGGAAGGCTTCCTGGAGTAGATGACACAAACTGGGTTTTGAAAGATGAACAGACTGTGGCAAAGTAGGGAAGGTCCTTCCAGAAAGAGAGCAAGTTGGAGTTTGGAAAGGAGCAGCGTGCTGCCAACTGGAGTGGTTTGGTGAGGCTGGAGAGGAGGGAGAGTGGGGCGCAAGGGGGGGGGGGCGGGCAGACTGCAGAGAGATGCTCTCGTAGGTAGATTTTGTGCTGCTTCTTAAGGAGCTTGGAGCTTAAGTTTTCCTGTGGCACTAAGGAAAACTAAAGAGAACGAGGTAAAGTTTCCGTTTGAAAAGAACATTCTGGCATCACTGTGAAAAGTGCATTAGAGAGTGGCGGGTGTAGGTTGGCAACGTGAGGGTGGTTGCTGTAGTTTAAGGATAAAGGGCGTGGGGTGGGTGGCTAGTGGTGTGGTTGAGGTGTTGAGGAGATCTGGCATCTTGGAACCTGAAAGAATTCTTCGTTACGATCCAAGCAGAAGTTAAATAGGAGACACTCTCTCTGTGGGACACTTGGTGACTTTGTAGGATACTTCATTTGTTCGTTTCTTCAACAAATATTTTATCTGACTACCTGCTATATGCCAAGCACTGTAGTAGTTCCTGAAGATAATGCAGTGTAAAGAAACGTACTGCGCCCTTGTGTGGCTTGTAGTCTTCAGAGACTATAAATAAGTCAAATGCATCCTATGTTAATGAAAAATGCTAAGCAGAAAAATTAAGTGGGGAATGCGGATATAATCCCTATCACACTTGCTAACTTTCTGAAATCCTGATAGTTACCGTAGTAATTTCATACTTTTAAAATTCTGGGAGCTTTAGCTTATCCTGTATTTCTTAGTTCTTGAAAGTACACAAACCAACAAAAAAAAAAAAAAAAAAAAAGAAAGTACACAAACCGACTCAACGTTCTTAGGAGGGATCAAGAACTACCGTAGTAGTAGGACTTTTGATCAAATGAAAATAAAATCAATTCTGTTTCTTCAGTGCGAAGATGTGTTATGAGGTGACAGTTTTTAAATGGAATCCAATAGCCATTCTACTGGCGCAAGAAATATTTTAGGCTGAGAGGTTTAAAAACCCAACTTGAATTAAATTTCTGCCAAGGTCACACTTGCCTTACCGATTTGCGCGAATAGATTATTTGCCTTTTATTTGAGAGTGGTTTAAAATAAGGGGAATGTTTTAAGAAAATACAATGCTGTTTTCAGAGCTCTGTTAATGGTGATGAGGGTGGTAGGGCAAGGTTAATTCACAAGACGTGGTTTGTGTCAGAATTTGTATGAAGCCTTGGAATTAGGTATCCTTACGAACCCCACAGAGCCAAGGTTCTTAAGCTAAGCATTTAAAATGCTCTGATAAGTTTGACAATGAGAAATCCCACTTAAATTGACATAGCCAAAAAAATCTGAGTCCCTGCTTCCTTAGTTTCCCATGAGACTGACCTGGTAGATAGTGACCTGTGTTTGCTTATTAAGCTTTTCTTTTTCCGATACAGATAACAATGAAGATGGTGCCAAAAATGCTTTCTCCTTTGGTTAAAGACTGGGCTCCCAAAGCATTTACAATTTCCTTTAAGTTGGAGACTGACCCTTCCATCATGATCGATCGTGCACGGAATGCTTTGGAAGTTTATCGACATCAAGTGGTGGTGGCTAATAGCCTTGAGTCACACGGATCCTTTGTGATTATTTTAACGAAAGACTCAGAAACCAAGATACTGCTGTCAGAGGAAGAAGCAGAAAAAGGCATAGATATAGAAAAGAAGATAGTAGATGACCTTCAGTCTCGACACACAGTTTTTATACATGACAAAAACTGAAGTAAAAAGAAAAGCCTTTGTTTGTAGGATCAAAAATTGTTCAGTGGATCAGGGCTCTTATAAGTGGTAAAAACAAATCCTTTGCTATCATAAAGACAAAAAAACGAAGGGAAAAAACTGTGAGTGGTATGCAGATGAATATAGTTTGGTATTTATCTTTTAAAGATCATTTCATACTCAGTAAAAATGAAAAAAGCAAAGCAGTTATGATCAAACCACCTGACACACCTACCTGATTATCACCTGGATTGTGAAAATGAACACGAACTGTTGCTCACCTTTAAAAAAAAAAGAGCTTATTGGGAATTATATTTCTCAGAATCTACATGTGAGGCCTGAATATCGACCTTCTTCATATTATGAGAATTATGGATGCATGAATGGCCATGCCTTAACGATCAAATATTTCTTGATGGCCTACTATGTGGTAGGCCCAGAGGATTATGAGGATTAAAAAGATGAATAAATATGTCTCTGGGAAACGGATGTATGAAAAATAAAGTGCAATAAAGTGTGCCCAAAAGCCAACACAATGGAAATGATGTTTTTTGGAAATTTATCAAAGGTGGGAGTACGAGAGGACACTTCCCTTAAGACAGATTGCCTGGGGATCCCTGGGTGGCGCAGCGGTTTGGCGCCTGCCTTTGGCCCAGGGCGCGATCCTGGAGACACAGGATCGAAATCCCACGTCAGGCTCCTGGTGCATGGGGCCTGCTTCTCCCTCTGCCTGTGTCTCTGCCTCTCTCTCTCTCTCTGTGTGACTATCATAAATAAATAAAAATTAAAAAAAAATTTTAAAAAAAAAGACATTGCCTGTAGAATGATGAGCTTCCCACTACATTCACTTTTTGCTGCTTTTCCTAGATTGACTCCATTTGAGTTAACAGTCTATCTTTCAAATATTTTAGAACTCTTCTTAAGGGAAACTTAATCTGACTCCTACTTGGGGCCAGGAAGGGGCCCATTTGTGACTTCTGCCCTGAGGGAAGCTTTACAATGTGAGGAGTAGGGACTTTGGAAACATCTCAACCAAGTTTGGCCCTTCCAGCTGTGTCAGCCGTTACCTGTGTAAGCTTAGACCCTTGACTTAATATCAACTTCCTAATTTATAAAACAGAGATAATAAATCTGCTGAGTAGTGCCCTTTGTTGTGAGGATTAAATAAAACAAGAGAAGACGAGGGATCCCTGGGTGGCGCAGCAGTTTGGCGCCTGCCTTTGGCCCAGGGCGCGATCCTGGAGACCCGGGATCGAATCCCACGTCGGGCTCTCTGCATGGAGCCTGCTTCTCCCTCTGCCTATGTCTCTGCCTCTCTTTCTCTCTCTCACTGTGTGCCTATCATAAATAAATAAAATTTAAAAAATAAAAAAAAAAAAACAAGAGAAGACGTTAGCCTGGTGTCTGGCATGTAGATTTTTAACCTGCATATAAATTTTTTTCAGCAAGGATGTATTCTGAATTCTTGATTTTTCAGAGTTCCTCTCACTGTCCTGGGCTTTGGGTTGGGAGTACAAGAAGTGTGGTTGAGAAAAATGCCCTAAATGGTTGGATTGTCTAGAGTGTATGTTGAGAAAGTACCATTAATAAGTAGGTAGAAGCAGGGACTGTACTTCACATATTTGATTTGAAATGCATTTAGTGATATATCATGGATTTGGGAAGGATAGCCCCCCAATGTGTCTGATGACATTGGAACAATAAATTTTAGTTGAAAAGATTTGAGCAGAGGAAAAATAACTGCAGCAATTAGGACTATTCTGGAAGCAGCAGTCCCATTGAACAAACATTTTAAGAGAACTTAAGGTCCATTTAGCAAAAACCTCAAAGACGACAGGCTTGGTCACCAGAGGCTGCAGTACTGAAGGGCTAGGAGGTAAAAGATTGATTTCCTTCCCTACATCTGTAGTTTCATGTGGATGATGACTATCATGATGTTTGAACGTCCAATGAGGGTAAATGGAGTGAAAACTAGAAGTGATCTCAATGTTTCTACCATTATTATTACTTCCCTTGGGAACCATTTCCTATCCTGTTGTATTAGGCTTACACAAACACCACTTTCCTACATGGATTTATATAAAGTGTTTTCCAGTTCAGTTCAATTTTCATTTGGAGCACTTAAACAGTTTACACACGTTGAAATTCCAAGAGGTGTTTTTTTTTTTTTTTAACGGCAAATAGTGTGCAAAGAAAGAAATACTGAAAAGGAACACAAGTCAATGAGGGCAAACGAGAAGGCACTTGATCTAGATTGGAGGACCAAGAATCGTTTCCCTGAGGAAGTGACACTTGAACTAGTATGTAGCAGTTAAGTGGACTGGAAGTGATGGTGATGGGCATTTTAGATCGAGAAAAAACACTTGTAAGGTAGAAATGATTGAAGCACTTCCATAAAGGATAAGATCTGTCCAAATAATGCACCATCTGTCCAGAGAGCTGACCAAGGTTTGGAAAGGATCCTATAAGACTGAGATGTAGGTACCTATTTGAGGTATCAGCAAAGCAATGATTTGACCCAAAACATGGGTCAAATCAAGCTTTGATGAACTAACTAGAATCTTGCAATAAGAGCATTTAAATGAACATGATATAAACCAAGCCTCTCTTAAATTGTCATTTAGAAATTTTTATTTTGCGCGACATCGGTGGAAGAACGGTTCACTTAAACTGCATTTTCACTGCTTAGGACCTCTAAAAAGGGCTTCTGTCTTAGGGACAATTCTAGTCGAGTCCGGTTTCTTCATTTTTACAATGATAAAGCCAGGTCCAAAAAAAAAAAAAATGCGGTTTGTCATAGGCGCCCCAGGCAGTGACAGACCTAGGCTTAAAATTCAGAACTCCTGACTCTCTCATTTAAGAATGAAGTTCTGGGGATCCCTCGGGTGGCTCAGTGGTTTCTGCTGCCTTCAGACCAGGGCGTGACCCTAGACACCTGGGATCCAGTCCCGCGTCAGGCTCCCTGCATGGAGCCTGCTTCTCCCTCTGCCTGTGTCTCTGCCTCTCTCTCTCTTCTCTGGGTCTCTCATGAATAAATAAATAAAATCTTATGAATGTGTAAGAAGATGTGGTTTATGTATACAATGGAATATTCCTCAGCCGTTAGAAACGACAAATACCCACCATTTGCTTCAACGTGGATGGACCTGGAGGGTATTATGCTGAGTGAAGTAAGTCAATCGGAGAAGGACAAACATTATATGGTCTCATTCATTTGGGGAATATAAAAATTAGTGAAAGGGAATAAAGGGAAAGGAGAGAAAATGAGTGAAAATATCAGCGAGGATGACAAAACATGAGAGACACCTAACTCTGGGAAATGAACAAGGGGTGGTGGAAAGGAAGGTGGATGGGGGGTTGGGGTAACTGGGTGATGGGAACTGAGGGGGGCACTTGACGGGATGAGCACTGGGTGATATGTGATATGTTGGCAAATTGAACTCCAAAAAAAAAAAAAAAAGAAACTAAAATATTAGACAATAGTCATGTGTAAGATTGAGGGACACTGAGGAATTAAAGCATTCTAAAGTCCATGTTCCTGCAAAATATTTTTTAAAAAAATGGCCTTGCAAGATAAAAACAACAACAAATTGATGAGAACTTATTAATGAAAGCAAGCTGAATTAAGTGAAATAAAATTAAAGATTTTTGTTGCATCTCAAAAAAAAATTTAAAGGTAAAAAAATAAAAATTAAAATTAATAAATAAAATCTTAAAAAAAAATGAAGTTCCTTCTAGAAAAATAAAACCAAGGTTATCAGGCCGGGTCTCCAACTTAAGGCCCTGGCGGGAAACTGCTTGAGGGTTATAAATGCCCGCTGACAAAACTTAGCCTCCAAGTAGGGACTCGCGGAGCTATGCTGTTACCATGGTGACGGCCCAGCCAATGGACTGAGCCGTACTTTCGTTCCTGCCGAGAGACCCCGCCCCGCGACCCGGAGACCAATGGGGTGCGCGATCTGCACAGGAAGGGCAGCCCCTGAGCCAATAGCGCGCGTCGTTTCTATGGTGCCCGCCGGAAGGGCGCCTCGGCGTCTCCGCGGCCAGCGCGGTTGCTATGACGCCGGGGCCGCCGCACACCTGCCGCTGGCGGCGGAGCTCAGTGACCCCGGGCCTCCGACTCCCCGAGAGGCAGCTGGCGGCCCAGTTCCCGAGGTTCCCGCGTTCCCGCCTCAGCCCCTTCTGCGTTCCTTTTCAGCGCTCCAGGTCTTTCCCGCTCTCGCCTGTATGGCCCGGAACGGGAGGGGAGGCTCTCCCGGCTCTGCCTTTGTCGTCGCGGCCCGGGCTGATGCCGCCTGAAGGGGGACTCGCCGGCCTCCGGGGACGCGGCCGCCGCGGGCCTTCAGGGCTGGGCCGCCGGCCGTACTCAGGCCTCGGGGCCCCTTCTCACCGCCCGGGCGAAGACTCAGCCCTGCGCCTCCACGGCCTGGCCTCCCCCGCTGGTAGGCTCGGGAACAAAGAACTGCCTTTTTCTGCCTTTTTTGGGGGGTTGGGGGGGGTATGTTCATCCTGCAGAACCCAGATTCCCGATGAAGCTCTGGAGAGGCCTTCTGTATCGTCAGCTGCAGGCGTCACCAAGTCAGTTACCTTGCGCCCTTCGAGCTACAACCTCCTCTTCTCTCATCCCCCCAGCGCCTGTCCTCCCACCCTGCTCATCCCACAGCCATCTCCACCCTCCCTCGTCCACGCTGTGCATCACTGACTGTGCATTGGTCTCCACCACGCCTGCCATCTGCAGACCGCCTCCCTCCGCCTTTCTGCTACGATGATGCTTCGGGTAGCTAAGTATCCCACATTCTCCAGCTCTGGAATCATTGGGAAGATTTTTTCCTTCTTCTTCTCTATTTCTCTGCGCTATGGCAAGCTTTCCTGGCTTGGGTAAACTAGACGGTAGCGTGGAGAAGCGCACATCGGTGAATACACACAGTAAATTTCTGCAGGCCCGGTGTGTTTTGAAAATCGGATGGGGAAAGTCAAAATGCATTTTTGCATTTTGCATTGTAGGCCCGTCCCAGGCTTACAGAAAGAAAGAAGATGGTTCCTTGCTCACGTGAATATTGTGTTAGGTATACGTGATGTATTCATGCGTGGGAAGAGATCATTGGAAATGATCAACTTTAAGCCCATACAAACACAATGCCTTGATAGGATCGAACTTTCTGGAGAGGAGTTGCTTGAAACAGTTCTTGTGCCTTCTTTTCATATGAGTTTCTCTCTTTTCTTTTTTTCTTTTTTTTTTTTTTTTTAAGATTTTATTTATTCATGAGAGACACAGAGAGAAAGAGAGAGGCAGAGACAGAGAAGCAGGCTCCATGCAGGGAGCCTGATGCAGGACTCCATCCCCAGACCCAGGATCATGCCCTGAACTGAAGGCAGACACTCAGCCACTGAGCCATCCAGGTGTCCCTCTTTCTTTCTTTTTAAAGATTTATTTATTTACTTTAGAGAGAGAACACGAGCACATGGGGGGCGGGACAGATAGTGGGAGAGAGACAATGCTCCAGCAGACTCCCCCCTGAGCAGAGCCAGAGGGGGTGGGTGGGCTATCTCAGGTCCCTGAGATCAAGACCTGAGGCAAATCAAGAGTTCCCTGCCCAACCAACTGAGCCACCCAGGTGCCCTTTCATGTCAGTTTCTTTTTTGTTAAGATTTTATTTATTTATTCATGAGAGACAGAGAGGCAGAGACACAGGCAGAGGGAGAAGCAGGCTCCCTGAGAGGAGCCTGATGTGGGACTCGATCCCCAGACCGGGATCATGACCTGAGCCAAAGGCAGATGCTCAACCACTGAGCCACCCAAGTGCCCTCGTGTCAGTTTCTTAACCAGAAAGTTCTTTGTGATGTGAGCCAAGAAACAGAAACAATGAGGAGTGATTGGAAAAAAAAAAAAAAAAAAAGTATTTCTAGCAAGGGAGTAGGCTTAAGAGTCCTAAAAAGACTGGAACATAGGACCTTAAAAATAGAATGAAATTCATTTAGAGCCAGTGCAATTTTTTTTTTTTTAAGTTGGAAAACTTTGCCTTAAAGTATGTGTTCCTTGTTGAGTCTTAACTATTTCTTTTTCAGTACTCAGGTTTAAATGAAAACTATTTCCCTGCATGAAGCAGGCTCCATGCAGGGAGCCGGATGTGGGACTCAATCCCGGGTCTCCAGGATCACACCCTGGGTTGAAGGTGGCACTAAACAGCTGAGCCACCTGGGCTGCCCAGATGTCTATAATTTTTAAATTATATTTGTGTAGAAGAGAAAGAAGAGTTAGGGTGAATGGCCTATCTGGGTATATGAGTTTTTGCAGGCATGCTATTGACTTCTTTTCCCTAATGTCACTCTAAGACCGTTAGATCTAAAACTCATCCTTTGCTCAGAGCCAGAAGATGTGCTATAGCATGAGGTATGGTCCTGGCCCTGTCATTGTGTTTTGAGGGCACTTGTAGGGGAGTTAAGAACAAGTAGCAAAGACTCTGCACCCATTCTCCTTGCCATATTTCCATTTAAAATTCTTTGTCTCAGTTTGCTTTGACAGTTTTACCAACTCATTCTTTACCTCTAGAAGTTTGGGGTGAGGGGACTCAAAAACTTTTTAAGATAGTTAATGAGCATTTATTCAATATCTGCTTTGTAGAGAATCATTTGCATGTATGCTTTGTTATGTGGGTAATTTTATTTTTTATTTAAAGATTTCTTTATTCATGAGAGACAGAGAGAGGCTGAGGGAGAAGCAGCCTCCCCACAGGGAGCCTAATGCAGGACTCAATCCCAGAACTCTGGGATCACAACCTGAGCCAAAGGCAGACGCTCAACCACTGAGCCACCCAGGTGCCCTGTTGTGGGATTTTAGGTGCAGTTCAGATGTTAGAGCATTTATAATTCAAATAATGGATTTTTTTAAAAAACGATTTTATTTATTGAGAGAGAGAGAGAGCGCGCACGAGGTGGGTGAGGGGCAGAGGAAGAGGGAGAAGCAGACTCTCTGCTCAGCATGATCCCTGAGATCATGACCTGCACTGAAGGCAGATGCCAAATAATGGATTTATATCACCTCAAGATCTGCTTTTTTAGAATTTTCAAATTACTTAACCATTGAGTCTCAGTGAACCAACCTCCTGGAAAAAAATGTGTGTTCTGGGATGTTGCAGGAAAACAGGCAGAGCGACCCAAATGTTCAAGTCATGGAGATATAAGCAGCTTGGTGGGGATCTGTAAGTATACTAGCGTGGAGGACTAATGTCAAAGTGTGGTAGAAGATAAGGCTATGGAGTAGGCAGGAAGCAGGTTGTGAAGAATCTCTGCTGCCCAGCCAAGGGGTGCGAACTCTTCCTGGAAGCAATGGGAATGATAAGCAGCAAGTGATTTTGCATTCAGGACAGTCAGTCTGAGGGCTTTGGATGGAGGCCAGCCTGGCAGCAGCACATCAGTTAAGGATGCAATTACACCAAACTGGACAGGAAGTGAGGAGATCTACACTAAGGCTTCCTATACTTCCACCCTTAGATAAGAGGTGGAATCTACACATTCAGGGACTGGTCGTTAATGAGAATGGGATAAATCAGAAGGCAGGGCCATGGATGACTCCCAGGTTTCTGGCTTGGGAAACTGTATCGATGGTGATTTTGTTAACTGTTGACTACAGAAGGAGAAGCAGGTGGAAGGGAAAGATGAATGGATTCAAGCTGAGTTGTTCATTAGACAATTGGATATGCATAGGTCTTAAATAGTAGACTCATTTTATGTTGTCTTCCTAGCCGACATCATCTTCTCTGGAATATGTACCTCTCCACCAATCCTTATTTAAAGAATAGGCTTTGGTGGCCATATTTGTACCCCTACTTCCAACCCATTCCAGTGACAATGGACTGAATGAGGATTGTAGAAACTAACTTTGGAGAGGGGGACACCGTTCATTGGATGAGCAAAAAATAACCAACTCTCCTGAATTTGAATTAGAAGACAAAGGACAGAAATGACTTAATCTGAAAAGTTACTAAGGCTTAACACATGAATGGCTATTTTTAGCCTGGCTGGTGAGCAAGCAGAGAAAAATCTATCCATGTGGAGAAGCAAGTAAATTGGGGCAGATTCACATGGAAACTAAGAGCTGAAAGACCTCAGGAGTCAGGATAGACTAGTCCAATCTAGTCCAGGGTGGGCTGTCCAGTTCCATATCCAGTTCCTATATAGTCATATGTATTTTCCAGTATATGCCCTTTTATCTTATTCTTTAATTAACCCTCCTACGATAGTTGGGATTGGTTGGCTGTGAGGGTCAGAAAACTCATAATTAAATGACTTGAAAAGATAGAACTTTATTTCTCCCAAGTAAGAGTAAAGAAGAAAGCTGTCCAGAACTGATAGGGCAGTGTCTTAAAATTGTCGGAGAATCAGATTTCTCCTCTCATGATAGTATATTATCTGTGGCAGGTGGCTTCTACCCCATGGTGTTCAGGATGGCTGCTCAAGCTTCAACTATCTTGTGTGTATTCCAGCCAGTAGAATGGAGGAAGGAGTGGGGAAGGGTGGTCTCATTCCTTTCTGGGCATTTCCTAGAGGTGGCTCACGATGCCATTTACATCCCATTGGTCAGAACTTAAATCACATGGCTATATCTAGCAGTGAGGCAGGCAGCCATGTGATCGTTCAAGAAATCAGTTACACTGTGGGAAAAGGGAAGAATAAATATTGGGGGACAACTGGCAGTCTTTGCCACACCCACTTGTGTTTGTTCTAACTTCAGTGTGTTTCTGTTTCTTCCCAATTTTTTCTAGATAGATCTGGAGTTTAGTAAAAATTGATTATTATTTAACCCTAACAACCCCATAAAGTAGGCATTATTAATAAACCATTTTATTTGAGAGTAAATAACAGTTGAAAGAAGTTAGGTGACTTGCTTAGTCACAAAGCTAGAGAGTGGTGGAGCCGAGGTTGAACCCAAATGTCAGACTCCTATATCCATGCTGTTAACCACTATGATAGCGAGAAAGGCAGAGAGCCAAAGACATGATTCTTAGGAATGGCATCCTTTCAAGGGGCTATGGAAGAAGAGGAGCCCGGGAAGAACACAGAGAAGGAAAGGCTGGAGAGGTAAAAGTAAAAACAGGAGAAAGTGATGTCACAGAACAGAGGATGGAAACACTTTCAAGGAAGAGGTGGACATACTGCAGAGAGATCACAGAAAAATTACAGAAACATGTCCAGTTTGTTTGGCATTTTGAAGGTTATTGGTAACTGATATCTTGAGTCTCATGCTAAGAACAGAAGCCAAAATGCGGTTGTTTGAGGAGGGGTAGACAAATTAAAAGGAGGACAGTAGCTTCAGAGGAATGTGGTGGGATCAAAGGAGGGTTATTTTTTATCTTTATTTTTAAGACCAGAAGCATCTTTTTTTTTTTTTAGAGAGAGAGAAAGAGAGAGTCCATGTGGGGAGGAGCAGAGAGTGAGGAAGAGAGAATCTTTTTTTTTACATTTAAAATTTTTATTTATTTATTTATTTATTTATTTATTTATTTATTTATTTTCATTTTCATTTTAAAAATTTAAATTAAATTTGCCAACATATAGTATAACACCCAGTGATCATCCCATGAATTGTTCTCCTCAGTGCCCATCACCTAGTTACCCTATTTCCCCACCCACCTCCCCTTCTGTAACCCTTTGTTTGTTTCCCAGAGTCAGGATTCTCTCATGGTTTGTCTCCCTTTCTGATTTTTCCAACTCAGTTCCCCTCCTTTGACTATTTCTTATATTCCACGTATGAGTGAAACCATATGATGATTGTCTTTC